TGACATATAATTTCCTTTTTTTGTGCACTGTGTATTGTACTATACATAAATATATAAATATATATAAGACACACACACGTATATATATATGTATAGTTTTATACTACTTCATATTTAGAAGTACTTTTGACAATTACCCGCTTACTAGCACAATTGCAATTCTTTTTTTACGCTGGCACAGTTACCTGATACATCAGGTAAAGTTGTCAGATACCAATAAAAATCAGTATAATTACATACTGATAGTTTAGGCATTCGTCGTATAGAATCATCGCGTACAAAATAACTTTCTTTAAAACCATTTACTACTAGATCAAATCTCTTCAGTTAAATTAGACATTGTAGTTTATTCTGTAGGTGATGATCCTGACAAAAATGCCACTTAAATGAAACATTTTTTTTTTTTCATTTCATTTAAAATGGGCCCAATGATTCGTATGTAATTCTTAACTTTAAACAATCTCCTTTGCTTCTGAACAAATTTACTTGAAACACTTGTTGCATATTCGTTACATGATGCAGTATAACAACTAGTTTGAATCTATAATTGTAATTTTTATATTTTCAGTTAACTGCAACAACCTATAATGTAGATTCGAAATTCTATGGTACTTATTCCAACAAAATTCATTATAGAATTTATTCAGAAGTAATTGGATGTTTGATAGGAATTTAATTTATTCTTTAAACTATATTGAGTTCGTAGTATATTTAACTCCATTGGGCTTGTAATGAAACGTTTAAAAATTACAAGGTTGTTAATAAATAATTCATATATACATAGAGAAAGATATATACACATAACACTCACACACGCGCGCGCGCGCGCGCATACATATGTACAGTAAGTAGCATTAACACTCACAAACGTATGTCGTACAAAAATCCAGAATAATGTCGAACTTGTTCATCCGCCAGTTCGGCCGAATTGAGCATACAAAACGAAAGTATGAAGGAAAAAAAATACATTTTGAAACAACACATACTACAGATTGTTGCATCACAGTATTACATATGATTACGTGTATGTTTTTACCATGTATTAGCATGTATCTTTTCCTAGGAAAACGAAAACAAATTGATCAGAGAAGCGATATATTGTTTAATATAATTTCATTTTCCTTCTATAAATACTTTTTACAATTTTATGATATGTGTAAACCGATACTAAAAAAAACTTAAACGTTATAAGTGACTCTCCTTAGATACTGTCAACTTGCTATAATACGTAAGCAGCTATTGCGTTCAATTAAAAAACAAATTCATCCAGCATTGCTGAAGACAATATATAATATTTCAACGTTTTACTTTTCCATTAGCATATATATAGAAAAAGATTATAATACATATTCTTTTTACACGAAAAATTTGCAATAAAGCGAAAGAAATCGAAGGCAAGACTCATTCGTTATTCCTTTTTTTTCTTTTTTTTGGTAAAAACATTACGCATATAGTAGTTACTATTAGTTCTGCTTAGTCAAGCTCTATTCGATACCGAGCAGTCGGAGGCTGGATTCAGGCGAAACTTTTCATATCTATGTATATATTTATAGTTAAATACATAGAAGGCGGCAAAGCTGCTACATATCGAGTTATGATTTACATATATGCGATTATAAATGTGGCTGCTTTCTTGGAAGGTTTGCTTTCTGTTTCTTTTTTTCCTTGGAATGTCCATAGACACTATTACCTAGCGTACATTAAAAATAACTTCAGTCATTTACACATACTGCAGACACTTCCGAAAGGGAGAGACGGCCATTCTGTTTCACAAAGTGATAGCTTTGTATACCTATTTATTTGTACAAATTAGTTCTGTACAATCGTGTATAGCATTACATTAGAGTGAAAAGGAATAGACTGTAATATTATTGTAGAAACGCTGTATCTCAAATATAGCTTTCTACAGTATGTTGTGTATGTGTGTCTGTGTGCGTGTGCGTGTGTGTGTTCATTTGGAAAGTTGTTCAGTGTCGCTAAACAACTAAATTCGCGTGCAGTTCCAAAAATTATTAATTGTCGTTTTTTCTAGTCTCCAATTTATTCACGTTTCCTATACAAGCTACGAGTTATAATTTGCATATGGAAAATGTTTTCGCTACGATGATTCATCTCCAACAGAAGATCCAACAAGAAATTCGGACTTAATGCACATAGGAATCAAGTGATAATTGAAAAAAAAGAAAATGACGGGGCCAGTTGTCAAAGTATTTATACAAAGAAATAAGCGTACCACCGTGTCTCAGTATTGAGGTAGCGTAACGTTGCTTTGGCTTAGCGAGTCTTTCTGATTATCTAGAAATATTTCAACTGATCGGTGGTACCTGGAAAATGAAAGAGAAATATTACACGCCGAAGGATGAAACTGTACAATCATGATCTTTACATGTAAGAGACATATTTTGATCTTTCTACTGCATACATATATGTGTCAAGTGCCAACGTTACATTCTTGTACGCACGATATACGATCATCGTAAAATCATCGTACTGCATTTGCGATGTCTTTGGTAGAAACTATTTGGTACGTTTGCGCCCATTCGGAAGGTCGTGCAGAGCGATGGAGTTACAACGAATGAACAGCTTGCAAGGGGGTACTTCACAGGGAAACAAACATCAACAACAATGATTCCTCAAGTATCAACAACATTAACAACATTCCATTATAACTTATCATCATTATTGTGATCGTCTGTATCATGACCAGTTTTGTCATTACAGTCGCTGTCGTAGTTTCAGTCTTTCGCCACACCTTCAGCTTGATAACATTTTGTAATGGGTAATTATAATTATCAATCGCAATCATTGTCTTCAGCAACATCGTCACTATTGTTTAATTAATATTTTTTTATGGCCATTGTCAGCGTATTCTTTTCTTTCTGCCGTTCTCTCGTTATGGCCATCTTTATTTCCTCTCTTTCTTTCTTTTTTTTTTCTTCGTGGCTCTTCACTACATTTACAATGCTCTTCGTCTTTGTAAATTCTCCCTCTCTCTTCCCCTCTCTCTCTCTCTCTCTCTCTCACACTCCCTCTCTCTCATTCTCTCACTACCGATCGAGTCTAATAATAATCGTTCCTGGAACTTTGAAACAGAATTAGACACTACGAAATACTTATGAACGAACTATCGCGATACGAAAAATTCTGTCGAAGAAATTAAAAATGCTAGAGAGCGGAATGAAGAAATGATTATTCCTTTGTAATTAAACGAATGAATCAATGAATGTACAAAGACGTAATTACGTATATGACTGATCGATAGAGTTCAGTTATCAATTAAAATTACAAAGTTCCTTAATTTTATAACATCTACTTATATATTGCGCGATTATTTTGGTATAAAATGTCCGTTCCTTAGTTCACGGTAAATAAAAAGCGAGCTTCTTTAAACACGTCCATGCAACTGGTTGTCTGTCTGATAATTTTCTAATTATGATAGTTGCTTCGGTGTAATTCTTTATAATATATTACGTGTTTATATGTGATCTACAAACATTTAAAATTCATCGAAATAA